GAGATGTTTGGCTGAATGCATGTTATATATGCTGGAGTTAGAGTTTGTCTTATTATACTGTACAGTACATTTCCACAGTCAGAAACATTACAGCCAGGCAGTCAGCAGGTATTACTTGTTCTGAAAGTTGGGCAGAATTCTATATATAAATAATGACCGGCCTACTGTATGATGCATTTTGCGATTAGTAATCAGCAGGCGGGTCTTCATTTCTTAAAAATGTTTTAGTATCTAAGACACTTAATACCTTTGAGTTATAACTCCCACTACCATCATTTATATTATTCTTTGCATGCGATCTAATATACAGTACTGTGCAAAAGTCTTAGGCAGGCAAAGAAAATGATGTTTAAATTACCGTCGTGTTGGTGTAAAACTATGATATTATGCCTGTCAAAGTCTGTCAGCTTAGCCATTTCAGAACCTCTGCTAAAATCATCCCAGTATTTGCAGCGACCGTCCAGTGCAGCCATGTATGTTTTGACTTGGCCACTAGCACACCCCATACAGCTAGTCAATCTGTCACTGACTTTTTAAACCAATTTATTTAATAATTAAATTGAGCTGTTGGTGAAATCTAACAAAATCATGGAATGGCTCAGGTGCCCCTGAGGAGAAGTTTGGGAACTGAAGCGGTGTTCATCTAGCCATCCAACTACATATCAGTAACTTTTTGAAAACAGAAGAAATTATTACTAGTTTTTATTGTTACTCTTAATTTGCACATGTTCTAATGTTAAATTGTGTTTTTTGTTCTAAGCCAAAGTACACTTGCTACCCAGATAAACAGCTTTAAACATTTCTTTGGACTGCCTAAGACTTTTGCACAGTACTGTAGATCTCAAACTTGCCATAGCCTAATTCAGGACACACAAAGGAGTCCATCTTTAATATATATCTTTATGTCTTGACAGCAGTAGGAAAAACACAATGAAAAACAGGAAAAAATCCTTTGCATTTATACTTTTAAAATGTCCTTGTTGTTCATCATAAATACTGTGTATTCCCTAACATTTCAAAACATTACAGAATAAGGCAATTTCTTTTTACAGTGGTGATTCTTAATAGGCTGAATGCCATTCAGCAGTATATACTAACTATGCAGCGGTCTGACTGTTGGGGTGTTTTTGTGAGTTACGCGTCATGCGATTTTCAGAGAATTCCAAGAGCTACCATCTACCATGAAGGAGCTGTCCCGAGTCTCTGAAGACGGGACTGGTGTTGCCTACACCTTTCGGAGAAACAAATCATGCACACAAATAGCCAATTATAGCCATGAAAAGTCTATTTCACAAATTGTAAATCACTTTCTCAATGTAACTATTACTTCCCCCACCAGGCTCTGAATATAACAGCCTATGAATATGAGACCATTTCATAGGACTAGGTGTAAACTATTGCAAAAACACTGTTTCTTCATGATTTTCTCATATTCCAAGATGAGAATACCTCCATACTGCTGAAGTGAAAAGGAATTCAAGCATGGAATGAAGTCAAATGGCCTCCATGGCTATATCTCACCAGCAGCTAACCTTCATGGGAAGTAGTGGAGTGCAGAGTCTGAAGTAGATATCTACTGTACCTGCATCCCTCAAGTCTGGGAGGCTTTTCTTTGGTACAAAATCCCACTGCACACAGTTAAGCTCTTGCATGACAGCATTAGAGGAAGGAATGAAGCTGTTCTGAAGGCAAAGAGTGGCCCTGTTCTTTATAGGGTATTATACTGAGTGGTGTTTCTGTTATGTTGAAAACCCAATGTTTATCTACTATTACGTTTTTATTAAGTTGATCATTTATTTTTTATTGCTTTAATTCTAATCAACTTTGTCTTGCTTTTTATATTTTGTGTTGTACTGAATCCCTTAATTCATTTGCATTATATTTTACAGTGAGGATGATTTCACATCGGACTATACCACCCCCGAATACTCCTATGAGTATGACTATGAGGATTTTGCACCATGCAAGTATGACAGACACAGCGCTGTTTTCCTGCCTGTGTTTTATTCCCTGCTCTTCGTGTTCGGGGTAATCAGCAATGGCCTCGTCTTGTGGGTCATGCTGATACGTGTGAAGCTGCAGAGCATCACTGACATCTGTCTCCTGAACCTGACTGTGGCGGATCTTCTGCTGCTCATCACCCTGCCCTTCCTGGCCCACTACTCGAGAGCGGACTGGGTCTTTGGTCCTGCCATGTGCAAAGTCGTCATGAGCAGCTACTACATTGGCTTCAACAGCAGCATCTTCTTCATCGTAATCATGAGCATCGACCACTATCTGACTGTAGTTCATGCCGTGAGTCCTCTCAAAATCAGAAAACGCAGATATCAAGCCATCATGATTACCATAACCTGGATCGTAGCACTTTTGGCTTCATTTCCTGAAATAAC